TTGGATAAGGGCCCTGAGAGCGAGCCCTGACTAGGAGAGGAAAGCGGAGAGTCCACTTATTCGACAACCTCGAAAACGATCGGACGCGCCTACACGGAGTTTTATATTTTGCAATTGAATAAAGACTTTAATAAACACCATATTGTATCATAAGAAAATTAGTTATCTTACAATAATTTGAATCACTTCTTGATAAATGGGGTCGTACCTCAAGGTCAGGGATTTTTATGATATCCAGGTATTTTGTAATTTAAGCTAAATTAGGGCAGGTTTATTTATCCAGGTTGGTATTTGTTTAAAAAATACTAGTAGGTCAAAGATGTTGCATCACGTTTCGAAGAAACCTGCGCTTCGCAAATGAATTTTTATCTGAGAAACTATTAAAGATACGACACTGTACTTTCTCTTGTTTCAATGGAGAAGGATGTACCTCTAAGAAAATATTTTTCTAGAACCACAAGAACGATCTCTAAATGTCGTATAGTAATTCTAATCCAAAACAAAATGTGCACACTCCGACGAAAATATACTCCATCCAAAGATACATAATTATTAACCCTTTGCGCTCGGATGGCGCCTCCAAGGCGACATATATAATTTAAAAGTGATTCTGTGAACATACAATTTCAAATTCACTTACGTCAGAATACAACTAATTGAAATAATAATACATCGAGTCGTGAACGTTCGTAGATGTTTTTCTTCGAAGTAGAGTTTTTGGTTTCACAGAAATTTATTATAAAAATGGACTGGATTTGATTCTATAGAAAAATGCATCGAGCGCAACGGGTTAATATACAATGTATAAATACAGGGTGTCCCAAAAATGTTGGAAATCCTTGAGAAGGGTGGTTCGGGGGGTGATTTGAAACAACTTTTTCCTTAGCGAAAATGTGGTTCGAGGCTTCATTAAGGAGATATTAAACAGAAAACCCTGACCAATCAGAGCGTGAGTATCCGGTGGAGCGGTCGCGCTCTGATTGGTTAAAGTTTTCTGTTAATATCTCCTTCACGAAGCCTCGGATAACATTTTTGCTAAGGAAAAAGTTGTTTCAAACCACCCCCCAAACCACCCCTTTCAAAGACTTCCAATATTTTTGTGACACCCTGTATACGTCGTCAAATGTAGTATGTTCCTCAGATCTCAATACCTTTCCAGACAAAAAAATGCAAATCACATTCAAAGACCAACAGTCCTCAACCTAACCTAAACCTCGATAAATTCCGACTAATCGCACACGTCTTGTCAGAGACCAGTATCGACGCGTTTCTTTTTATTTTCGTTTTCAATTACCTGCAGTCGAACAGCCACAGCATCGCGGAGGGGGCAATTTAGTTGGACCCAGGCCGTAAAATGGAATTGCACGGGTGCGGTATTTATGACTTTGTTCATTGCACCCGTAGCTCGGGGAAGTCTTCCACGCGGCGAGGTCTTTTCCTCGCGCGACCATGCCCGGGCATAAATTATTGCCGTTCGTTAAACACCGCTCCTCTTTTCGTCGACCTTCTTCTTTGAACTTACGTCGGGGACACGTTTCTTTTCGCGAACGCTGCGCAAACGCGCGCAACTTTCATAGAAATTCCTTGGTACAGGCTCACCTTGGACGGGGAAGGTCTGGGAACACAGGTAAGGTAAGAGGAAGAGAATATTAATACAGAGGCTACGAAAGATGTGAGCAAACGATTGCTCGATGATTCGGGAGACTCACGTCGTTTGGAGAGGAAGGAAAATCGATTTTTCGTCGAGACGATCTCGATTCCAGTCGTGTAAAGCTGTCCCTCAATCTTTTTGAAAAACTCAACATTTTCTTTTTGCCTACGTTTGCTCATTGCTCACGAATGCTCAATTGGAATTTTCGTTTGCCTCTCTTTAGTTCGAAAGATACACGCAATCCAAAATTGAGCAGTGTGAAGCTGTCCCCCTCTTTTTGAAAAACTCCAAATTTTCTTTTTGCCTACGTTTGCTCATCGTTTGCTCGCGAATGGTCAATTGGAGTTTTCGTTTGCAAAATGGGGGACTAGTGTGAAGCTGGTCCCACCCAAATTGAATCGCGTATATCTTTTGAACTAAAGAGGTGCTGATGGTGGAAATGAAAATTCCAATTGAACATTCGTGAGCAAACGATGAACAAACGTATGCAAAAAGAAAGTTTTGAGTTTTTCAAAAATGGGGGGCCAGCTTCGCACGGCTCTCGGTTCTATGGACGTCCGTTTGCGTGGCCGAGGGGAGTGCGTTTCTCTCTTTCGTTCGCGCACAAGTTGTTGGATATTCATGACCGAACGTTTTTACATAATTGCAGTCGACTTCTAACATCCTTCGAGACTCGTCACGGATGATTTACGAGGTGGTCGTCGAATGCTGTTATTATCTAGGTAATTCTTTTCGAATCCGTTCGATTTTGATAGACTGGATGCAGGCGAGGAAACACTTGTTGCGACACTTTATGTGTGCCAATGATGGTAGACGATGAATAATTGCTGGCAGTTGATTCTTGACGACGACCGACGACGGCTGATGACGATTGGCTCTGTAGATTTATACAAAAATAGATATACACGAAATAGTGCTAAAATTGTGGTGATTTGTCAAAATAATTTCGGTGAATGTACAATAAATGGAATAAAACTATTCGGCCACTTCCAGAACCGTCTGTGTTCCTATTAGACCTGCCAACTATAATTCCAAAGGAGTGCGATCAAGACGTAACGAAATGCAACAAGTGCCAGTTAATGAAGTCGCCGCGTAGATTAATAAATTTAAAAATGACCGGCACGTTGTTATTGGCAATGAAAGATAAAAAGGCGCAGCCAATTAAACGCTAGAATTACGTTCCTCTGACGTTTGATAGGAGTGGTAGGACAAAAGAAACACAGACGGCGACTGGCGAACGACACGGAAAATTTCTGTAGACACACTTTGCGGCCTTAATAGTTCGCACCAGCGATGGACAAAACTCCAGACTTCGAATAAATCTGAAATATGTCAAGAAACGTTAAAAATAGGAAACGACATTTTAGGTTCGAAGTCAGTCCATCACTGATTCGCACTAAACACGTCGACATTTTATCTCCCCTTCGCCACGAGTCCCTAATCACACCGAGTGAAACACACACCGTTCGTATGAGTCCATTTTTATTGTGTACAGGGCGTATTGCAACGTTTCGGGCATCGCTTAGGAAGGATGCCACACATTATAATATATCTCATACACAGCGCGAATTTCAAATATATATATAATATAAATCTGCACTATGCTTATTCTTCGTTCAAAAACGAGTCGAAAATGTAGAATAAATCTTTCTCGTACGATCCTTCGTTCTCGAGGAAACTGACCACGAAGTCTGTCCCCTCGATCCAGCATGGCGGCGGATCAACCCAACGACGTTCGAAGTTATTTTCCACGAGAAAGGAGGCTCCGTTTAAAAAATGCTATTTCACCTTTTCGACTCGTTTTTTAACGAGGAATCGTTTTAAATTATCTCGCGCTTCGTATAGGAACGCAGACGAATGATCTCTGCGTCGAACGATTGGAAATGGCGCGACTAGTGACGATCGCGCTTCGAGACGGATTCCATCGGGTCTGCAACACTAAAAATAATTAATTAGGAACAGTAGGAACGGATTTCATTTTTGAGCAAGTCCTTACGCTTACAGGGGAGGGGGGAGATCGTTCAGACCTTGGCGATAGTTAATTAACACTATAAGTATCAGGGCGTCGCAGCAAATATTGCCGATTTTAAATACGTTATCTTCCGAGTATTTTTGGAACGAAGTGTACATATTACTGCGCTAAATAATTGATACTCCGATAGTCGATGCATCGCAGAAAAGGACAAACGATTGCAAGGTCGCTAGAATTATTAATAATACAGTATTATTAATACCGACAGTTTTTTAAACGGACAATATTTTCCGGACACCCTAATAGCACTTGGTAAAAACGGATGGACGGTCCATCGAGATTACGCGTACCCGTTTGTGCAAGTACGTACGCCTTTAACGCCCGGGTCACGTGGTCGTAAGCTCGCGGCAGTTCGTTTTCAAAGGTACACAACTATAGCAAAAATATATCGATGTTTAAAGGTCGCATGCTCAGCTGCTTATCTGACTCGCGAACACGCGAATGTTCAATAAGAACATATAGTCGAAACTCTCTCTTCGACATCTCCCATGATTCTTATCGACACCATCGACTGTCACGCATAGATGACATCGCTTTTCACTGCGATGACATTACTTTCACTTTAAACAATGAATCCAAGTAAAGTGGCACGTTAAGTAGAGCAAATCTGGATCAGATTTGTGAATTTACAAAAATAAGTACTATGACAAATCTCGAGTTACGGGGGTCTTCGATTGTCTGTAGGAAGCTTCGTGGACATTGGTCTGGCACTTGCGTTAATCGTTTCAGAATAACGAGGGAACGAATACAATTTTTAGGGGTCGATGGAGGGATTGTTTATTTATTTCTTGAGGACCTCCAGGTGTATTAAAATCGAGCGGAGAAGTTTTTTTTTTATTTAACGAGTAATAGTACAAAGAGCATTATTATGGAGCTAGTTGAACTCAACCAGTAGAGGATAGTCAGGTACTAATAAACTAGTGAGTAATTGGACTGTTCGAACGATTGATAGCCTCGGGGCTCAGGAAAGCCAGGCATAGTGATCAGCCTTAACATAAGCCTTATTGATGAGTACAATTAACCCAGGACGAAACGCGGTAATATTGCTCTCTGTACGTAGCGAACCGGTATCACCGAATGATGTACCGAATAGGGAGAAAACTATTCTTCGACAAATTGGGACTTGCAAATTGGGACTTGCAAATTGGGACTTGAAAATTTGCAGGGATAAACCTGTTCTTGGATAAAAAGAACTTACTCCTTACTGAACGTACACTCTCGTCTGTTAATCTCACTAGTGGTTTGTCGTTTGAATAAAATGGTACTCGACGATGGGCCCGTGTGCTGCGTTTCACGCGTGGGAGCGTGGCTTCTGAGTAACCTCGGAACTGTGCTCAAGGAGGATAAATAAAAATTACGGAGGTTGTAGGATGTATAAAAATGTACCCAAAGATCTGAGTACCCCTGAGACTGTGCTCGTGGAAGATAAAAGGGACAGACACACAGGGCGTAGGATGTACAAAAATGTGGTGCTGTCGTAGGCTGGTGGGGACTGGGTGGTGAACTGTTGCAGCGATCACTGGAGTAAGTGGTCACCCTAGCAAGTGATCGGAAAAAGTGGTCACTAGAGTAAGTGGTCACTGGCACAAGTGGTCACTTGAACTAACGACAATGCTGCATTTTTCTCTATTTCCTAGATGGTCATCCACCCTTCGTGCTGCAAAGAGTTACCCCTCTATCGCATGACTCCCCATTCTAGCCTCTTAAACCTGCCAAAAGAAATCACTCCTCACCTACAACCTACACATCCCTCAACAGACCTGAACATTCTCAATGACTCACGCTAAACATTCTCAACTCTATAGAAACACTTTCAATTGAGTTCCCCAGTTCGAAGCATGTAGTAGAGAGTTGAGGCGTTCCTCGTCGATAGAGGGTTTGGTCGACGCAAGCAGTCTCGTTTGGACGGCAACTCGCCTAACTCGGAGGCTGGCCTATTGCACTGGCTCCAACGCGCGCTGGGCCTTTGATATTTCCAAGACCTTTCGTTCCGTAGTCTCAGGCTGGCTCGTAGATCGCATGCACTCCGCTGCGGCGGGGATTAATTATCGATCCGAGCGCGCTCGCTATAAATTATTACGCATTAGTATGTACAAACACATCGCCTCGACGGCGAAAGGAATAGACTTCAGTCTACGGGTGTCTCGACGGATTCGGCTCTCGATCAGGATTTCGACGGATCTTCCGCGATCGGGTCGCTGCACTTCTTCGTCTCCCACAAGTTGATCCTCTTTAGGGGGTAGCAGATCAAAGCTGAAACGAGGATCAAACTTCCGGATAGATAGAAGGAGGCGTCGTAGCTCCCCGTGGCATCCATGAAGACACCTAAAACATTAACCGAAAGATACTTAGCTTTCGTAGTTAGCGTTGCGTGTGTCGACATGTATACTTCCTCTGGTGTGTTCGATTAAAATATTTGCGTATGATAACAAAAGTAGCTCTTGTTAATAATCAAAGAGGTATCAATTAACAAGATTGCCTAGAGAATAGCGCACGAACACTTTCACTTTGTTTACCGGAGCAGTTCTACCGCGAAATTGCTGAAATGCCAGAGATTAGATAAACGCCGAGTGTGTTTATCGATCTAATACGCAGCTTTAACAGCGTAGGCAGCTCGTCAACCAGAACGTACCTTTCCCTATAAATCAAACGTCTGGGGAATCATAATGTTATGCGTCGAAACTCACCTCGAACGTTGGACAAATATGTTTAAAATAACCGAGCGTGGAACTAAGTATTGTCCTCGATCCTCAAGGTCTATTTAGAGCGGTGTATTCGAAAATGTATCTCGACTACAATTAATTCCATCGACTTAGTGTTGCAATTGGCGAGCGATATTCAAATCGTACATTTTAGAATTATGATTAGACTGCGCGTTTGTCGGGATTGTTCCTACAGTCTGTGGAAACCAAACGTAATCTAGGCTTAACTGTCACTCGAATACAGAATCACTTGCAAAGATTACTTCGCTTCGTTAGCCAGGAATTCTTGCCGCATACCTCAACGACTAATCTAGGCTACTAATGGCCAACATTCCTTTCAGAAAGGTGCAATTAACGACCGAGAATCCGATTTTTTCTAACTCCTGGCTACTAGCGTCCCTGAAAGCGATCGATAATTTCTAATCACCTGCGATAGGCGCGCCTATGGCAGCCGCCACGCCTTGGAACAGAAGAAGCAGTCCGAACGCGTTGGTCAATTTCTCCAGCCCCAGGAGGTCTACCACGAGGATCGATCTCAGAGAGGCGAACACGGCTGGAAAGAAATTACATTATAAAACTTGGTTCCGTAATCGGTTTGTAATATTTCTGGAAGCGATACTTACATATACTGATGCCAAAGCTGGCTGCATAGAAGAATTGGTAGCCCTGGGAGAGCGACAGACCGGAGCACATGGTCAGGATGCCACCGGTGCTAATGAATATGTTGTTGACGACCAGGGCGTCGACGCCAGGTAAGCTACTGGCCATGCCACAGACGACACGACCGATTGTGTTACCGATGCCGATCACGGAGACTAGGAACATCGCTGTGGATGGCTCCATACCTGCCAGCTTGGCTCGATCTGCAACAATCAAGCAAGAACAATTCAGTTTATCGATTTACTTCGAGTTCCCTTAGGCTTGGGTGGAATTTCTGGTCTGGGTTATGTCTAGGTTAGATCTAAGCTAGGTTTTCATCAGTGGAGGTCACGGAGGTACTTTTTAGACTCCCTGTAGATTGCAGAAAATTTTTTGCGACGTTTCAACACTTCAGACAATTTCAAGAAACGTTGCAAGACTCCAGAAAATTAAATGCAACACGTTTCAAGTTTCAAGGCTCTAGAAAATTAAATGCACCACGTTTCAAAGCTCCAGAAAATGTTGAGCAACATTTCAAAATTCCAGAAAATTTCAAGCAACGTTTCAGGACTCCAGAAAATTAAATGCAACAGGTTTCAAGACTCCAGAAAATTGACTGCATCAGGATTCAAAGATTCGGTTCCTGGGCAACGCAGGATGCCTCAAAAGAGGGTACAATGAACTTTGTTATTACGAGGTGGTTGCTATTCCAAGGATTACGCGGACCAAATGCTGAGGGGCAGTATTGAGGCTCTATACGGTACCTGGGACATACATGAAGGGTGTATAGAAGCCCATCATGGTGAGTCCGCCAGAGATGGCCAGAATGAGGAACGAGGGGCTCTTCAGGAGGCTCAGGTCAAGCATGGTGGTAAGTATACGCCTCACGCTCTCAGGACAGAGGTAGCAGCTTCCGCTTTCTTCTTCGGCAACGTCTGTAGCCGTTGGTAGACGCGTGACGGACATGTGATATCCCACGGACGATTGCTATGAAAATCATGGTCGATATCTCAATTCATAACTCCAAGTGCAATTATCAGGCCCTGCTTAGAACCTTCTACCCCTATTTCATCTGAGAAAAATTCTCACCTGGGACTTGTAGTGGGGCAACCTGTTCAGAGATCCTCCGTAGAAGATGTCGTCCCTGTAGAACGGTCGCTGTGGATCCTTGTTGAGGTTGTTCCGCCTGTTGCCCACCTTGAGGGACTTCTGGCTGCACTCGGAGTCTGCGCGCAGGCGTCTCCCGCTGATCGTGTGCCTGCGAATCTGCCAACAACATCCCCGCTTAACCAGAACGCACTGTTATCGCGATTAAATGACTCCTGCTGGCACAGGACGCTCCATTATGTCCGCGGTACGTCTTCATTTCGAGCTACCGCGGGTTGACCAATTAGCGAGCTCGTTAGTCACGATCCCGTGACTCGCCAGATTCCTCCTCAACAAGTGAGGACTGTTTGGCGACCATCTAACGGCGTGATCAAACTGGAGAGTCATTTTTATAGATTGTCGGATGAACCTTGAACGTCTGAATGTGCTGGTCGTAGGAACGAGACGTTTAGGAACTTTTGGGACTTGGGAGGTGATAGCTCGTACTGTTTAGGGGTGGATTTTGGCAGGGTGGACTGTTCGAGGTTAGATTTTCGTAGAGTGTACTGTTCAAGGCTAAATTTTACAAGGCTGTACTGTTCGAGACTCGATTTTACAATCTTGTCCTGTTCAAGGCTGTATGATTCAATGCTAGATTTTACGAAGCTGTACTGTTCAAGGCTAGATTTTTATAGAGTGTACTGTTCAAGGCTCGATTTTACTATACTGTTATGTTCATGGCTAAATGTTACAAGGCTGTACTGTTCAAGGCACGATTTTACAAAGCTGTACTCTTCAAGACTCTCCAGTCTCTGCTCTCTACAATAGAACAGCCACAGAATAAAGTTGCTAGAGAACGATGGACTCACCGTGGGCACTTTGCCGTTCAGTCTTTCCACATCGCCACCCAGAAGATTGTTCTCTTCCTCGATGCTCTTCTCATCCATGGTGACGTCGAGATCTGGGTATATGGGGACGGACATCCTCTTCTCGGAACTGCTCAGCTTCCTCTCGAGCACAGGCAGCTCCACGTGCACCTTGTGCAAAGAGTGCAGAGACTTGGAGGCGCTGAAACGGAGGAGTTTCTGGTATCAGTTCTTTCTTCTATCTTTAAAACTCGGCTCACGACTCATTTAAGGTCTATTTACACATATCCGTAACGTGTCAGTTCCGTATCCGTACCGTATCAGTAACGTCACAGGGCGGTGTCGGACGTATGTGAACATGCCCGTTCAAAAACAACAGAAGAATATTTAAAATCTATAGACATATGAAGATATAAACCGAGCCTTTATACGTCAGGTAACTGATAATCAGTGATCCTCGATCTGTTTTCTCTAAAAATTGAAACTAATATTAACCATTCTCTGATACTATTTTGGTTATTTAATATATTCTTGTATGTGCATAATAATAAAAATACTACAGTCTTTCTATTATCTTTTACCAAGATAGTGTTACGGAATGGTTAATATTGGTTTCAATTTTTAGAAAAAAAAGGTCGAGGATCACTAACTGTATTCAATTGCCCTCGTACAAAGGCTCGGTCTATATTTTCATATGTCTATGTTAAAATCACTGACACTGCTGGAACATTACGGAACTGAACGGATACGGAACTGACACGTTACGGATACGTGTAAAGAGACCTTTAAGCGTTCAAAGTTTATACGAAACTCAGCGTTAGCTTCTCTCCCCCGCTCTGTTTATCAATTTTACGTTACCAATGATTCGTGGGGTTCGAGATTCATACAGAGGAGTTTATTAGATAAGAAAGATTTAATTTATTACTATACTATGTTGGGGTTGCTGCCTAGCAGCTCGGCAGCAGTCGGATACTCCGTGTTGTTGTTCGTGCCGAAGAAACCGTTTCTGGTCGGTTGGACGCAGTGCAACGACGCCGTGGACAATCCCTTCGCCATCAAGCTGCTCTTCATCTCTAAGCCAACGTTCTCTGGAGCGGACTTCACTTTGATCCTCGTTGGTTTCAGTGGTCGAAACATCGCACCGAAAATGGAGCAGTTCAGCAGCATCCCTGGAAAATTCAGAACAAGTCTCTGATCCACGATCATCCGGCGTTTCTTCCACGGGTGGTCACCGAGCTCGAGACTAAAGTTAAGTGGCGTTTCTATCTTTTGGAGCGTTGCAGAGATCTTCAAAGGTATTCTTGTTGGTGTGGGTTCGTTTCTTTATTTGTATCGTCGGAAAATTATTATTTAAATTGGAATTGCAGTTGATATTTTGGTAAATCTTACGTTTAGGGGAGGTAGCTTGACCTTGAACTTGACATATGTTGTCAAGGACACCCTGCTGAGTAACACCCAAGAGACTTAAGCCGTCGGAGGGTTTTTATTAAAAAGTTATTAGCATATAAATATAGATCACTATATTTTTCCTCATCACTGCATCGTAACTGTAACGTAACTTGCTTAATCTATGCATGATTAGATGTGCTCCACGGAAATTTCTAAATCTCAACCTATCCTACCGGTCCTTCTTCTTTCAAGACACCTTAAAAATCCAATCAGTTTCATCGGATCAATTATTATTGCAATTCTCTCGAAGACGAACATGTTAAGTCTGTTTCGAATGTTTTCGTTAGGCGGAATAATCAATTTTACCTTTCGACACGTCTAACACTTGAAATCCTCATTTCTGATGCGGCCTCTACGACTCTAAGCAAATCAACGTCAATTTCTGAGAAGCGTAAGTTGTTATTCCTATCATCTCGTGTTTTACTTTGTACAACACCATCCATTACAGTTGCACCTCGTCGCGCATACATTAACATAAAGACACACTACAACGGTTCTAACTTGTTCCGAGAGCTTGTATCATGTACGAATAAAGATCGCGCTCCTAGCTAAAACCTACACTAACTAACCAATTAGTATTAGTGACTAGTAACAGACCAGGTACGAATAATACGAGAAATCAAAACAAAACAGTACATGATTTTTATATGCTAATAACTCTTTAATCAAAATCATCCGGCTGCTAAAGCCTCTTCGGTGTTATTCGGGAGGGTGCTCTTGACAATATATGTCAAGGTCAAGGTCATCGGAGCTGCCTCCCCTAAATGCAAGGTTTACCGATAATTTTCCTTGTGTAACGATACGTTACTTCTCATTTCGATGGAATTTATAATTT